TGGGATTATTTGAAATTTTAAGGTATATTTATGAATGAAAATTCGAAGCTATTTCAGACGCGTAAGATTTTGTTTGAAATTAAACAATATAATAGTTTCGAGTTAATAATCTAAAATAGTTTCGAATTTTCATAACAGATGGCGCGCTAGTGCATCATATATAGAAATATTTAAAAAATATCCGAACTCTTTTAACATAGAGTGGTGCGTCAGTAAATAATGAATTCTAAATAAAGATAGTTTTATCATATTGAAATATCACTTATTTTTAATTTAATATGGTAGATATATTTATATGTACAAAGAGAAGCATATATGCCTTTAATTACCTGAAGTGCCCTTTGTGTGGATCAGGAATAACAATGGAGATCTTGCACTACTTATTTTATTGTGCTGCTCTGTCTGAAGAAAGACGAAAACTCAATGATAAAACGGGGTAACTTTGTCCTTCATTTCCGGCACTAATTAATGAAATATCAAAGAATAGGTATATAGCGTTGGCGATATTTGGATTCCACAGGATTATATCCCGTAAAAAGGCCACACAGTGTTCTCCCCATCCCTTGTAAACTGGCGAATCCTGTATAGGGCGAGAGGCCCTAAATAAAGGAGTTTGTTGTTGTTGTATATGCCTTTAATTATTCATCAGAACGAAGCAAATTCCAACCTATATAACATGGTTTCGACCTTTGAAGCCGCTCCTGTACTAATGAGGATAAAAGCCTGAAACCATGGTATACAGGTTAGCTTTTTGTCTGAATTTTTCAAAACTTCTATTGTGACTGATTCTTCATCTTCAATTTAAAGTTTCTTAATAGGGTGATGAACATAATGCATCATTCTTAATATAAAAATAAAGTGACAGATACGTCTCTAGTTACATGTATATTATCCCTCCCAACAGCATAACCATACCTATTTACAAATACTCATCTGGTAATTAAAAGGCTTTTTACGCAACTGAGGCTCTTATGGTTGTTCTTTCCAGAAAATCGTTCAACGCACTGGAATACTGATTGTTTTTTAACTTCTGATCTATGTAATAGCAGAATACAATATGAAATACATGCAAGATGATTTTTCTTGGAGAAGTAAAGATCGCTTGGGCGATTTATCCTTGTCTCAATCCGATAGTCAAAAAATATATAACTGAATAAATACAATTATGTTTGAGGTCTTCTCTTTGGTTTATATAAATTCTACAAGACCACAGTCACCGTTCAGAGGAGATTAATATAATCGCCGAATATCGTGGTCCATTTTGATGAGGAAAGCGAAGATTAAAACGCGGCTGATTCCACACTCGCCTTTTTGTGATACACTAATATATGCATGGTGGATTATTTGGCAACTGGACATGTGTCGGACCTGGAAGATGTTAGGTTCTGCGCATAATTTAGATTCAAAACATTACTCAAAAATTTAAGATTGGTATTCAAAAATATTTTCAATATGTTTTCTTCTCTTCTCCTTCTTCTTCTTTCTTATCTCCACTCAATCATATTAGGGTGTCAAGCTTGAGACTTTTGATGGTGTCTGTTGACAACCATCATGACTGGGTGAAGTAGAATGTGTCTGCCTTTGTCATTAAGACTGGTAACACTCCTCAGTGGCAGGACGACTTAGCTCTAAAATAAATGATCGCCTCTGACAAGGAACAGACACCATGTGCAGCCGCTCCTAACATGTAGTACAAATGCTGCTTATCCTGTTTCCCTGGATCATAACCCCTTTCAGAGTACTATCAGCCGGGCCAGCTGAGCCCAGGTTTTTTATTGAGCCTGTTACTGCTTTCCCTCTTCTTTCCAGTTTTCTTCTTAAATGTCAAAATAATCAAACACTGGGCAAGTGATAATTATGTTCCTTTAATTTGTTTAAATACTAGGCCAATGATAATGAATCGCTAGACCTTTCTAAGTCAATTTTTGTATGATATAATATTTTAAAACAATCACTTTTATGATTTATATAATATTTTATGGGGTAATATATAAGTATGGAAATATACCAACCATCAATATAATATTTGAACGTTTATATAATAAATAATGATGAAATTTAAATTCGAGATACTCAAATTTCTTTAAAATCCTCAAATAAATATTTAGTAACAATAAATATATTTTTTTTTGTGAAAATCTGGATTCGGAGCAACGAGAAGCTATTATACTGTCTTATCAAAGTGGAATACATATTATTTATTGATATCGAATCTGTATTTCTAAACTTAATTTTGACAATTTTTTCAGTAAAAAAGCCTCGTTTTTCGAAGACTAGATTTTTGACACTAAAGAAAAGTTACTTTATATTTTCAAATTTATTAAACGCTATTGATAAATTTACTTTAAAATTGATATATATCTCTATATATATAAAAATCAATGTTTGTATGTCCGGTATACAAATTCGCAGTAGTTCACTAATTCAAACCAAAATTTTCATACATAGGCCAAAAAATACGGAGAAGACGATAGGCTATTTAAAAAAATATATAAATTAGTTATTAAAACTATATATTTTTAGTCCGAAAATGATGATGACGATATTGCTGTATCATGTTTGATTATCAGATACAAAATTATATCGGGAAAAATTCCAAAAAGCAGAGACCACGGGTGAAACCAGTTCATTATTTTGTACGCAGGAACAAAATTCTAACAAAAAAAAAAACATTCATTAGAGCAGAAAACAAAAAAGCCAGATCATCTTTCTATAAAAATATCGCTTCTCAGACACAAAGTTTGGAGCGGGACTTTCACAAGAGTGACATCCACGGCGCCAATTTATAATTGTAACGAATAGTATTTGAATAAAAACATTTAATCGGGTAAAACCCGGGCGTTGCCCGGGTCATTCGGCTAGTAGACTATAATGAAAAAGATATATTAACAATAGAATATGTTCGTTAACCTGATTTAATTTTTCTGAATATTCTATATTCATTTATTCAACTCTGATATATCGGTAGAATATAGTTGTTCGAAAGGTTTCCTTTTCATAATAAAACTTTACATAATAATTGTTAATTTTTATCAATTTCTCTCCAAATAAATATTAACCATTCAATTAATATAAATGGAAATAAATCATAGGTTATATAATCGCCTAGAGCAAATAATAGAAAAAAACACGAATATTAATAGAGGTATTGAACTGCCTAATTAATATATTCCCTTATTAGAGTTATTAGTTTTAATAGTTTAATAGATAGCTTTCTCGTTTTTATTTTAATCGAATAGAAAATGTTCGCTTTTACACAATATTCTACATAGTTTATTCTCAATTAAATACAGTTTTGAATATATACTCTTAAAATAATATATTTCTATTTTCTTCAAATGCAAATCTCCTAATATATGTGAATATGCATATATTTGAATGAACAAATTATTTTATATATTTTTAATTGTTTTTCTGTGAAAGGGAAGAAATACAGGAAAGCTCGGCAAAATAATAAAACCTTGAAAGAAACATCCTACTCACGATTTCTTGTTTTTTACAATTGGGAATGTAGGCGAGAATTGAAAATATGTAAATTTAGAATATCCTAACATGTGAGCGCAATATTAGCACTATGTATAAAAACATTGTTAATTTTCCAACATATGGAAGAAGCAGGAAACTACATTTCACTTAGATGACACCTACATCCTCTTATTTAGTGTTATTTATTCATATTCATTCATTTTCCTTTGTATTTAACCTTATATAAATCTTATATGAACGATGTAATAAAGTTCTTTCAATCTCAATCTCTCTCTGAACGCTGGGCAATCTTTTTGTACAGGTTGTTTATATAACTAATATATCCGTTTAAATTGTTAATATAAATGTAAATTTCAATAGACGCATATAGAATATGCGTTCATATATGTCTAATACAATAAATTCATTTATAAATCTGTTGGGGCCTTGCATAAATTTCACATCTTCACGCTTAATTGGTTTAGGAGTGTTTAATTCATTTTGACTTTGGAAGATGTTAATATCTGCGCATAACTCTTGAGGCAAATGCCATTAAAAGTGTGGACAGTTATAGTAATTATTAACTAAGTTTAGTTCATTAGCATTTGTAAGTGAGGGAGAGAAAGGCATGCTGGAATTAATTAATTCTTCTCCCGCCAGAATTAGCTATATTAATGCAGAGATAGAATTAATATTGCTCCATTTATCAAACGGAATATTAATATAATATTCAGAGAAACCTGAGAAATGACAAAATTCCACAGCGAACACCTATAAAATAGGTGGTTCCACAGAACACAGTGGAGCTTGAAATTTTTCATTAGATGCTGAATTATACTACACAACCCGATAAAACTAGAAATTAATAAATCATCATAGACGTTTATATAAAATGGACACGCTTTCTTCAAATTGATAATATTTTGAAACTATATTATATAATTAAAATCAATTCCTACACACAATATAAGTTTCCGAATATACAATACATATATATTAATTCAGATGTGTATATGACTCTACATTAATGTAATTCAGAAGGTAAACTAGAATTATAATTGGTAAAATTGAAATGAATTTTTATCGCTTATATAGAATTATCAAACTATTATAGACGCGTATGATTCTTTAAAAAATTAAACAATTTATACTGCCCTTACTGCAATGGCAAAATTAATGGGAAGGCAATGTTTTTCATTCTAGTAAGAGCAGTAGAAATTGCTTAATTTTTTGAAGAATAATACGCATCTATAATAGTTTCGAATTTTCATAACAAATGTCTCACTAATGCAGCATAATATATAATTTTCTAAAGTAAAATTTTTATGAATGAATAGAGAAAATAGATCGAAAAATAAAAACGAAATAAATATATAAGACAATAGATATTGTAGAAAATATTGGAAACAAAACTATGTACAGAAATTTATATATGGTTATATACAAGCATCAGAGTCATCAACAATCAATTCTGTCATCGTTTGCTTTTTTAAATGGAATAAATACCCGAATATGGCCATTTCTTATATGCATCGGTGGTTCAGTGGTAGAATGCTCGCCTGCCACGTGGGCGGCCCGGGTTCAATTCATGCATTTTTTTACAATTTTTAAAACTCATTTATATAATTCTATATACAAGTATCAGAGTCATCAATCCTGTCATTTTCTTTTGTGAATGTATGTAAATAATGGATTTCATATTTTTTATTAATTTTTGTTCTGGCCTTTATTTGTTTAAATCTCTTGTTAAAAATCGTTTAAAATGCAGTCGAAATCATTAGCGAACAGATATGTTTGCCTAATATTTCCATATGCTCTTTTATTATTTTACAGAAAAATATTTACATGCCAGTATTTTGGATTATTTTTTTTATAAACCTATTTTTTTTTTATTCTTACTGAGAAGATGAGCATCAAAGTCAGGATTCTTTACAGTCAGTCACTCAACTCAGGCAATTTCAAAGGTTAATGGGGGTTTGGTGGAAAAGCTGCCGTCTATTTAAACTATATTAATTTTGAAACAACTAAATGGATTGCAAAAAATAATTATATCAAATACCTAAACACTAATATAATACAATTTTTGCCATTACACACTTTTTTTCCTGTAGTTTATGTGTTTCTTCTGTATTGCTATTCTATGGCACTTCTACTATTTATTATTGATGTACTTTCAGTATGAAGGATACTTCACTCGGGGGATTTCTCGGGCGAAGCCGGGTCATTCTTCTAGTATGGTTATATAGAGAAGTTTTAACTACAAAATAATTTATCACTCTCTCTCTCTCTCATTACATATATATAGAAAGGTAACCGATGGAAAGAATCCATATATATATTTACTTTATTTTTCACATTATTAACAAATAATTACACAGGTCTACAAAAAAAACTTTTTTTTTGCACAAGAGAACCTGATGGTGTTTCTAGTGTAACTTTTCATGCTGAACTCAAAAATCTAATCAGAAATTTCCCATCACCCATGGTTTTTGCCTGACGATCTTTTTTTAGTATTGGGATAAATACATGCATCCAACATGAAAGAGACTTACGAAAACATCAAACTGCTTTTGAAAAAGATAGAATATGAAAGATACGGTTGGAAAATATGCAGCGATTTGAAAGTCGTTGCTCTCTTGCGTGGATTACAGCTTGGATATACAAAATTTTGTTGTTTTCTGTGTGAGTGGGATAGCAGAGATAGGGAAAGACATTACATTTAAAAAATCTGGCCAAACCGTAAAATCTTTACTCCAGGATATAAAAATATTGCAAATCTACCCCTGATCGATTCAGAAAATATTTACTTACCACCATTATATATTAAACTGGGATTAATGAAGAACTTTGTCAAGGCAATGGATCGAAATGCCAGTGGATTTGCCTACCTAAAACAAAAATTTTCTAGTATAAGTGAAGCGAAGATTAAAGAAGGCATTTTCGTTGGACCTCAGATTCGAGAATTGCAGCAGGATGGAAATTTTCAAAATAGTTTGAATAAAGTTGAAGCAGCAGCATGGAATTCCTTTAGAAACCTTTGCAAAAACTTCTTAGGAAGTGTCAAGGTTGAAAATTACCGATACATAGTTAATGATCTGTTGCTTTCCTACAAGGCACTGGGATGTAACATGTCCCTCAAGATCCATTTCCTGCATTCACATCTAGATTTCTTTCCAGACAATCTTGGCGCAGTTAGCGATGAGCATGGTGAGAGGTTTCATCAAGCTATATCAAGCATCGAGAAGCGGTACCAAGGTAAATGGAGTCCCGCTATGCTTGCCGACGACTGCTGGGCACTCAAGAGGGATCTACCACAAGCAAAGTATAGAAGAAAATCCACTGTCACTGCTTTTCAATAATAAATATGTTTCGTTCATATATGCCTATATATTAACAATATTTCCAAATTCAAGTAGGTGTATCTCAGAAATATTGTGTAATAGAAAAAAACTAATGGTATATTTGGATTCAGGACATGTAGATAAGATGCTATTTCTTTGTGGACAAAGAAAAAATATTTTTTGATAAACCAGTTACGTGACATTGTTTGCAATTTTTAGTGTATTTATCCCAATACTAAAAAAAGACCGTCACGCAAAATCCATAGGTGATGGGAAATTTCTGATTAGATTTTTGAGTTCAGCATGAAAAGTTACACTAGAAACATAATCAGGTTCTCTTGTGCAAAAATCTTGTTGACCAGTGTTATCAAAGCAAAACTTCTAAGATTAATGCAGCTCCAATCTGGACACATGATTAGGCCTTAATATTAAATAGAATTCAGATTTCAGAATTCAATAAAATACCTCTAATGTGTCTGGCACACCTATGGGATATATATCAACCTATGCAAAACAGAATATAGGTTTGGTAAAAACGAAATAGAGATATTAAATAACACCCGTTTCTCTTGGTTTGTTGAATGTACAAATTTCAATACTTCACAAAGTGAAATTCCTGAATAAAACTACCATAGACCAGTCTATACAGTTGGATTATGCGAGAATAACAAAATCTGTACTTTATTCCACTATAAGCATTTTCATATGTCAACTATTGATATTATGGAGTGTTTCCCAAATTTGATATACCATGGACTATTAAGCGTTGCGTTGCTCAAATAAGATTTATATTTTCACTATCTGAAGACAATCATGTTTTATTATTGCAATTTGATAATATAAAGTGCACTCTGGGCAATAGAAAATTTAGCCACGACTTTCCACACTACACGTTTTTTGTTCGGCACTGGTGGATGAGAGAGTAATTTTACAACAAACTCAATGGATAAGATTTTAATAAATTCTAGAAAACAGCACAGACATTGAACGCAACACATATCCAATAGATCCAACTATAAAGAAGTTCGATCCTAATGTCCATGTTCTCTAGATAACTGTTATTAAACTTATATTTACCCATCTAAGAATCCCTGTAGTGATCCTCAATAAAGGTATTTCCAAATCGTTGTTAATTTTAGGATTAAACACACAAAAAATATTCACAAAGCTATATAATTAAATATGAATATAATCTGAATTGGAAATTTGTGATGTACGTAATTCACATCTTTGAGCAATAAAATAATTTCTTCTAGAAAATTATATATATACGCAATATATTTCTAATAAAAAATCAAGACTTATCAAACTTATACCTTCATATTGAAACAATCAAACAAAGGTTAGGAGACCTGAGCCTTTTCAACATTTCCTAATAGTGGCTTAAATGTAGTCAGCTAAGCAATCCTAACAATTATTTTCTAATTGTAGTAAATTTATGTGATATTAGTTTTTCTTTTTCAAATATTAAATAAATTTCTATTTAAGAATTAGTATGAATTCTGATTAAGAATTGGCATATAAAATTGCATTATTACTTAAAAAACTTACAAGAAGATCTAAAATATTTTAAAAAACCTTGAATATTTAATTAAAGTTCTATAAAAGTTCCAGTATAGGCAAAAATAACTTCATAGTCTGGATATATCTCAATGTTTTAAACATGTACCAAGAGAGCATCCCCCCCCCCCCTATGGTGCATGTCAACAAAAGAATCACAGATGTTACAATTGTCTAGAAATCGATAAAAATATACCTTCACACAAATTCAAGTATTAACTAACGAACTCCCTGAGGGGAATTTCAACTCTCTTATAACTTATTTCTCATTCTTCTTTTCAATTAAAAAAAATATTTTTTATTTGAGACGGATTGAAAAAATAATTTCACTCTTTTTTATGTGTAATATATTATGTTTGAAGGTCGTTCTAAGTGAAGTTTTGAAATTTAATATGAATTGTAGTTGACACATATATCGGGTTTGTATTCATTTTGAAATATATAGAATCTTCCCAAAAAAATATTTCTTTATAATGAATGCTACACCTTGAAATCTGAAATTCAGTACCCATGTCTTTTAGCAAACTTTGAAATAGTATATCTCCCTTTATTACTGTGATTAAATAAATTTCGATTATTATTATTATATATATATATATATATATATATATGTTATATAAAAGTATTATTTTATTTAAAATTATTATTTCATAGATATAAATACTCTGTTTAAATCGACCGCCAGAGGTCGCGCTTTCTCTATAAATACTCATTGTTGTTCTTCCCCGATTGGCCGACCCAAAACATTGTAATTATGTAAATAATTTTTTCATTTTTTTATTCTTACGCCTTAAGCCAGGCGGTACTTTTACCCAATTATGTTTATCTCATAGCTCAATTAAAGCAATTTTTAATCTATACTATTTTTATTATTTTACTTTCAAGATTCATGCCACGACTGCACCACCATAGTATAATCACCAAGATGATCCAAAACAACAGAAATCTTTTTTTTTATATTTAAATATAATATATATATATATATATATAATATATATATTTAAAAAATATCAAGTCTTAAATTCTATATATTTGTTATATAATCTCAATTTACTAAGAGCATTGATAAAAGGCTGAGAAGTATTACGCTTTCTATGCTCTTTATTTATGAAATTTTGGAGTCTATACATTTATAAATTTAAAATATTTCGAGGTTTATTCTGCTCAAAATGATTCTAAAAATACGAAATAATAAATACAAAAATCCAGAAAGTTCAAGTAAAATAATAAGCTATTCTTACTTTTTTTTGCTTATCCCTAGTACGCGTGGTACAGGCCATGGTAATCATAGTGGGTAGAAGTAGGAGACTTCTTTTACTGTAAGTGCACCACATATCTACACATGTGAAAATCAGTTCGACTTCGCACTTACAAATGTTCCAGAGCCCCGCTTGGTTATTTGCACTCGCTGAAGGGGTTGGACTTTTGCAAAAATCGGTGGCCATTGGAGTATTTATTTTAAATCAGAAAAAAAGTGTCCAATGCGGGAATCGAACCCGGGTCCTAGTGGTCGAAAACCAACGGTTTAGACCATCCTTCCACCGACCCCCTTTATATTCTTACTATAGAGATAGTTAACCTTTTAAGCATACAATAATGACTGAAGAAACCTTTCTTTATAATATTCTATCTAAAGTAAAAAATGATCCTTTCTCACTCTCTCAACAAAATATAAACAGTCTATAATTTCCAAAAAGCCGCT